ATAAAAAAGTAGTTGAAAATAGAAATAATTTGTTATTATTTTTGTAAGAGTTAAAGGAATGCATTTCACTTTATTTGTACTGGCGGTTTAAACGATAATATTATCACGTAATTATCTTTCAAGACATAGAAGCATAGCGAAGCACCGTGTTACCAAGCGTGATGCTATAATTTATGGTGCAAAGAACGGAGATTAATGTGTCTACATTCTAATGCATATTAATCCGACCTCCGATACAATAAATGTACATTTTCGAGGCGATGTCGCAATTCAACGAAATGCTGAAGAATTGGAAATAGGAAGTTTGTCAGTTTCTTATATACTGCAAAAAAAAATAATAATAGAGATGAGTAATTCAACATTCTATAATAGGATGTATAAACAAGTTTTGTGACTGCAAACTACGAGACAATTCCAATAACACAGAGTGAGCATGTCGAAAGAACAACAAATAGTCGACAAGCAAGATTACGTCTAAAGTTTTTATAAAACCAAACATACATTTCTTAACAAAGAACAACATTTATTGTATAAATATATATAATAATATCAAAGTTCAGTTCTTCCTCGTAAATTTAAAATCTCTTATTTCTCAAATTATCTCCACACGCGACTCGATTATTTCTCGATAATCTTTTGCCTATAATTTTATCAATCTGAGCTGTTTTTTAAATTCAACTGTTACGAATTCTCTTTTCGCATAGCAGTTTTTCGCCTTTTTCCTTTTTCTCATGCTTCTTTATCGAAGTTTCTTCAACTTTGACTCGTCCCTCGATTCGACTCTCTTGCCTATTGACTTCCCCTACTCTTCCGATTAACATTCCGTCTATTGAAGGTCCATCTTATTAATCTATTCTATTTAACTTATCTAACTAATTCTTATTCAGTCTTCTTCCCGAAGTTCTTACGTCATTGTTTATTTAACGTTGCCGAACAAAGAGAACTATCTTTTATTTTTAACGTTGCTGGATGAAAAGAGCTATCGACAATACGGATTCGGCATTAGTATTATCCTGACAATCATAGAATATGGACGTTCAATAAACTGTTATACTGATACATAATTTCAGTTTTTTATTGTATCTTTCGAGATGACTTAATTTTTTTTTTATAAACGTTTAATTGAAGTTTCTTTATCATTAAGTTTAATTTTTATTAACACTTTGACAGTGAATGGCCTCAAATTAAATAAAAAAAGCTGATAAAAGAATTGAAACTATTTGAAGAATAAGAAACAGGAAAGAAGTAAAAGAGAGCACTGCGATTATGCCTGGTCTTTCCAATCCCAAATGCGCATACTTGTTTTCAAACAGTTGCGTAATCCATAAAATTTCGAATTGCCAAAGATATCGGGGCTTTCGGCGAAAAGCAGTGAGAGATTAATGTCCCGAGTTCGAAATCCTGTGTGCGGAACTTTTACGTTACACGCGCACGCCATGCGAGAAGCGCCAGTAACCCAACTCTTAAATCAGGAGCGACCTGAAATCCTCGTTATCCTCGGTTACGAAGCGACGCGACAAGAAACGATCCGCGTCCTGCTCCGATTCTGCGATAGGATTCTTGGGTTCGGATTTAGCGGCACCAAAGATGCACTGTCGGCCACTATAATACAACGGCAAGAAACACGGCGGGAAGTCAGGAGGGCAGGAGAGCGCCGAGGGGGATGCCGGCATATTACCGATGCAGGGGATGTCACCGGGGAATGCGCGCGCATTCTGAGCTCATTTCCATAACGGGTTAGGTACATATTACCCCGTACGTATGTACGTATCTGTATGCGCGCTCAAGTTACGAATGGATGCACCACTCGGCGAATGCATCTTGCGAGGGTTACCTACCATTCAGCGCGGTTTGGCCTCGCTTGGCTCCGGCGGAAACCTCTCGAAATCTAATGATACGTTGCACATTAATCTCGAGAATCGTCGATCATTTCGAGGGATCAGTCAAAATACAATAACGCCAAGCTATTTGAAGACGATATTGCAGATCCCGATGATTGACAACAGCTGTAGGAAGATTTGTAGGGAGATTTTGGTATATTAATTTGCGGACATAACGGATTTTCATCGCGGTTTTGAATATCATACGAGCTTTTTATTTTATTTGCAAAATTGAATCTTGGACATGACAAATTTCATTCTTTGTAGAAAATTAAGAGTAATTTTTGATAGACATAATATTCGTGATTTTAATAGAAAAACGATATTTACTCTAACTGCTTTCATACAAACATCAAAAAAGCATTATCAGATATTTTAACCCAGATAGGTGCTGTGAGTTATTGTATTTTGCGCAGCGCGGCATGATGTTAAAAACACGCTGATGGAAGTTCCGATAGGATCGCATCAAATCGGCAAATGGCACGTATCTCGCAATGGTTAAATTGCCGAATTGTCAGTTTGTCAAGTGGATAAATCGCTCAGTTAGATAATATCGCCGAACGGACAAATTGGCAAACATGTTACGTTGGCAATAACTGGTCCGCCGAAATGTCGGGAAAATTGCTGGGGAGACCGAGAAAAATCAGCAAAATTCAGGATGGAATGCAGGGAGTGTGAAGAGAGGTAGGGAAAATTGAGGAGGGGGGGGGAAGGACTCGCATGAGCGGCGTATGTAAAATACGATAGCGCGTAACGCTGAACTTTGCTCGTACTAATAAAATGTAAAATGTCCCGCCGGAGCTCGGGGCGTCCCGCGGTCGGTAGCGCGCGGCGGCAAAGTATGCTTATCAACCTTTAATAAAACGACCGTGTTGCATAATTCACCCACTAATTTATGCGGCAGCCACTCCTGCGCCGCTAGAGGAAATCCCATGTTCCGCACCGGCAAGCATCGGCTGTTCAATCGCTCGGTCGGAATCGCGCGAACCGGAGTACTTTCCAATTCGACGATTATTTGGACGCGTCTGGGTCAAAGGTTTCGTTGTTTGCTTGCCCGTTTAACCCGCCGGAGCCTTCGTAATCGCGTGTTTGCCGAGGGAGCCGGCGGACATGTAACCCCAGACACCTCTTGATTGGCAAACATGCATATTTTATCCGCGGCGGCGCTCACGCTCAGATAACGCTCGCTGCCTATATCAATTATTCCCTCTCCTCCCCCTTCTTCCGATTTTCACCCGCCCGCCTCTTTCACTCCTCCCCTCCCCCTCCGAAATTCGACGCGGTCTTCTCTCTCTCTAATGGGGACGAGGTTTTAATTGAAATGTAATCCCAATTAAAACGAATCCGCAATCCTCGACGCACGAGTGCGTGTAATCACGTTAGCGAAATGAAATGTCCACTCGAGCACGAGTACGCGGCCGTTGCGGGGAGAGCGAGCAGTTTTGGCGAACGGTAATCGGACCACTATCCTCTTCGAACTGGAGTGTGAGCAAGTATTTAAAAAAAATTTTTTTTTGTTCACGAATATGGAATATCATTATCGCGTTTATAGCGCGCGACTGCTTCGCGGTTTTATAATGAAGCAACCGGTTTTTAACATTACACCGTCCAGTCACGTTGCACATCGAAATAAAAGTATATAAAATCTATATGAAATCTAAAAGCACATATGAAAAATTATTACACCGTAACTGTCGATGTGAATTGAAAATGTCTTTTTCACTTACGTGAAATACTGAGGTGACTGTGAACATAAAATATTAAAATAATAGTGAAAATGAAATAATAATTTAATTTTAATATAAAAATTTATCTAAGATTATTTATTGGAAAAATATTAATCGGAATATATATAAGTTTTTTTGCATTATGTAAAAATTAATTTTATAATCGAAATTAGAGACTTTTTGTTGAGCGATAATTAAAATATGCTACAACTCACTTTCTCAATATATTTATTCAGTTTCTTTATTCATAACGACTTATCGTTCTTTGCATTTGAAATATACAGTCTTATAACTGGCATGACTCGCACTGTCACGTATGTATATACAATAATTTTTTCAAAACACATCACGTAACAACTTCACACATGCGCGCCCTTAATCCTCAAATATATTTCCCTCTTTTTTCTTTCTGAACGAGACTTACGCAGGATTTGCCTTTTATCGACGTACTAAGCAAAATCTTCATCCATACTATGCGTATTCATGCTGCCTCATGTCTCAGTGTCTTGATCCAGTAGAAAAACACTATTCGTCTGTATATATTGCAACGTATGCTTCGTTAAGTATCGAAAAACACCCCGTCGAGAAGCTTAAGTAACGTTACGAACTGAATTAAGTATACATATTGTCGAGCAGTATTATTCCCGGTTAAACGTTTAACAAAGTGAATCTAATTTTTAGATGCGCGATGAAGAATGCAAAATGCGACACTGACAATTTGTAACATCAGGAATAGTGTTAACGATGCGGTGTTTTTATCCACTAATTTACTCAGTAGTGTTTATCTATCTCTTCTTAAACTATCTTTGTATTTAAATGTGCCGCCGTCCTTTTCAGCACCTTTATTTTACGAATACTTTCTATATTTCACAGGCATCTGAGACTACTTTCCGATTTCCTGAATCCAATCGTACCATGTAATAACCAAAATAATATTAATACTACACATTTTCCGTACACACTCAAATTCAAGCGCATAATATATTTCTAAATTGTAGCATAACGAGCACCGAAAAGATATTTACTTAGTGCTCTACGCAATATATTTCTTTACGATACGCGTTAATAAATCAAATAAAATATTATCACGCAAGAGAAAGTTTATTACAGTGTTATATAAGAATTCTTCCGCAAATTACATAATATAGCTGGGAACTTTTTTATCAATAGTATACACATTGCTTTTTTATCAATAGATTTTTTTATATCAATTGACAAGTATATTTGGAAAAATTCATTGGGTAAAATGGACATAAGACAGAACGCTAGAAAATGCATGAGTTTTCATATGATAATATATATCTTTGAAAAATTCGTAACAAGTGAATTGTAAATTTAAAGATCATATAAATATGTAAGATTTCTCAGATAGAGCATATATTTATATAAATAATTGTTATTAGCGATAAATGAAATTTTGACATTAAATTATTTTTAGATGCAAAATGAGAAAAGGCAGTATTCAGAAGAAATTTTAGAACATCAGAGTTATCAAAGAACTAATATCTAAATTAATATATAATCAAGTCGTAATACACTTTTTATGTTAACATATTAACATCTCGCATGTTATCATTTTTCTAAACTATCACAGATGATTGGGCAAATATTCTCCAAGTGATCATTGGGAAAATATTCTAGTAGGCTAATTATGAGCTGTATTGAATTGTTGGTGCGTTGGTGCAAAAATCGTGTAGTGACAAGGGATGAAATACAACAATTTTTCTACACACTATAAATATCTTACAGAAGCATCATTTTAAGTTCAAGCACAAGCTATAAATTGATTGGTTAAATATCTTGATAAGAAACATTCGAATCGTCGCAGTAAAACAGAAAACTATCCCGTACGAGTCCCTTGACACGATTTATTTCATCTGAATTGAAACCATTTGACAGTAAAGATTTGTAGCAACAGGTTCTTATCTATATGCGCTTTAGCTGCAGCTTGTTTAAATGAGCTGATTTTCAATTCTGTATTGATAAATCTGAATATTTCTTATTAGAAACATCTAAAAATACTACTTTTATTTTATATAAAAAGATACTGAAGGACCTTGAAGTTATTCGTAACATACAATCAATATTTGGAATTATATACAATCTTTTGCTTCTTTTACATCTAATTTGTAGTGTATGATTCGCTTACAGCTAAACGCATCAATATAAATACTTCGCGCAAATATAAATAAATTAAGCTCTATTTTGACAACTTGTAAATTTACGTCGCGTTTCGTATATTCTTTTTTTGCTGAAGAGAATTTGTCATATTACAGATGTTTTCTTTTCAGATATATTATATCATGATAAAAAACCAGTAATATGGCACAATTAAGATGAAGCGAAAAGGGCATTTCGTAAAATTCTCTTAGTTAATCTAATTGCAAGTTGCATATCGCGATCAATTTGGAAGTTGTTTTGTAGGAAATTTTGGCATTCAAAATTGGAGGGAATCGAAGGCATTTTATTATAAATTTAGCGATTGCATTATGTAAGCTTTCAAATGTTAATGCTTTTTTTGGATAACCTTGAATATATATCTTGAATATCCGAATATCTGTGAAGTTCACATTATCTTTCAATGATACAATAAAGGACAGGAAGCGAGAAACGTGCTGACAAATATGGGGAATGGATTTATCATTAATCTGCTTTGCCCGGATTTGCTATTTCGTAATCGTATCAATAACGCATGACGTATTATTTCAGCAATATTCCCAAATTTAATTGCATTTGTGGAGATATATTTTACACTTATCGCGAGTACGATCTGTTCATTAATTTTTACGTTATTTTCGCATTAGCGTCTGATTTTGGTCAAATTAAATTTGCGCGTTATTTAAAAAAAAAGAAGAACGATATATTTGCGGTTTACAATTGTCTGAGCGAGCAATGAAAAACTTACACAAATTTATTTTAGTTGAGTCATTACCTTAAAGCCTTATTACTAATTAAGCTTACATCGTCTAGTTTGTCTAACAGCATCAGTTACGATTTAAGAATGCTTAGGCGACGATTTAGGCCCACTTTGTTAAATTCGGAAAATCGATACGGGACTCACGGAAACGGGTATGTTTCGTTTCACACTTTTTAAGTATCGGAATCTGTCGGAATGATTGATTAGCGAGTATAGATATCGCTTTTCGCAATAACGTATCGGTTCACATGCGAACTTTCATGTATGTCGAAAGCTGCGTCGCTCCGACTAATTACTGAGCACTACGATTTCTTTAGTTGGTCGAAATCGGAACCTTTTGGCGAATACAAGCCCAATTTTAGCGTCAGTTCTTTTGGCTTTCGAGTGTTATTCCTAACGGGGAAAGGACTGAAGTGCGTCTTTGGACTCGGAGTGGTGTCGATGTTGTCGTCGTTTTTATTCGCGTTTTCCATAGTGTCGAGATTCAGTGTTGACTTCTTGTAACAATTCGATCCTTTGTTTGCGAGATCGCTATATTTACCAGCGCTTATCTTGCCCGGAGACTCCGGAGAGATGACAGGTCTCTTCGCTAGATTCTCTTCCGCTAGATTCGGAGAAAGCTTCGGACTGTAGTGATTCGGGCTAGACGAGAAGTATTGATCTTTGTATTGACGACTGGGCGACAGCACGTTGTAATCGCGATGTCTCGTCGGCAGATAGGAGCCGATATCCGACTCTGATTCCATCGTAACGTGCGGCAATACGCTTAAAGATTTATCGTAATCCGTGCTTCTAACGTGCGAATATTCCTTCGGAGACAAAACGCTGTACTTATGACGCAAAAAATCCGACGTGTCACTCGTATAATCTCCGATGTCCAAACATTTCTCCTCCTTGCTGACGTATTTTGTCGGCGTGACCGTTTTATTGTTGCTGTAGTAAGAATTCCCTGTATTCAGAAAGACCGCGGATTTGCTGTCTTGGACCGCGGCGTAATCGCCGCCGATCGATCTCGGCGACTCGTCGTCGTATCTCACGCGAAACTCCAATGATTCTTTCGATAACATCGAACTTTTCGGGTGCAGATCGTAAGGATCGATAGAAATTCTCGGTTTGGAATCAACGTATTCGAACGTGGAGTCGCTGGGCTTATCGTACGCGGTGTAAAGGTTGTCCCGCGGCGATGGCCTGCTCGGAAAATCGAAGCTCTTGTAAGGCTCATAAGTACTCTTCAGCGTGCTCGGCGTGGTATCGAACGGACTTGTTTTCGGCGCGTATCTCGTCGCGGATGATACTTCCGGATATGGTGAAGCGTCGGATACGTACGTAATAGGCGACAATCGTTTCGGCGGCATCTCTAGAGACGTGTCCGGCAACATATGCGCGTAAGAGATTTTGTCGAGTTTCTGCAACTCCCTGTAAATGTCTATGTCGCTCTTCGGCGACATGGTTTGCTCGTACTTGAGTGTCGCGAACGGAAACTTTTCGGAATGCTGAATTACGCCGTCGTGCGCGGGCTCCATGTCGCTTCTAGTTTCGATAGAGTCGTTGGAGGATTTGTAAGAAAATACGTTCGTCGAAATACTCGTAAGATCGAGACCTTCTATCTCACTTGCGTTCTGACTGGATGAATTTTTCTCCAAATTAATCATACTCGGCGGCGACTCCTCCTCGTAGTTCGCTAGCAGTTTAGAGAGCTCCTCGTTTATCTTGTGATCTAGAAGCGCCTCCCGCGTGTCCAGATAGTCGTTCGCGATGATCTCGTCCACGTCCAGGTGATCGATTTGTTCCGCGTCGTCGATAAGAGAGAGTTTCGTTAATTCTTCGTTGATCTTTGCGTCGAACTCCGAAACACTAGTAGCGGTCATGCTGTCAAAATCTTTGAAATTTATCCGAGCCAATTCTTCGTTTATTTCGTGCTCGTTTAATCCCATTTTCTCGAGAATCGGACTGAATATCTTGGAGATTTCCTCGTTTATCGGACTGATGGTGATTTCCTTGGATATCTCCTCGAGATCTGGCAGGCGTTTCTTCGCCTGGCAGGCTAGAATCTTGTGCAGTATGGCCGAGTTTTCCTGAATAATTTTCAACGCTCTGTCGCTACTTCTGCGCCCGTTGTCGCCTTTTTTTCGCGGTTTCACTTTCGTCCACACGCCGACCTTCGACTCCCTACCGTCATCCACGTCACTGCTATTTTTGTTGCATGCTATGCTTTTCAGTATACTATCGCTGTTCTCGTCGATATTAATTTTTGGATGCACCACGTATGATTTTCTACCCTCGCTTGTTATATTTATATCCGGAATTTCCAAGCGCCGTTTCGAGAAGTTGCTCGCGGAATTACTGAAGGTATCCTGTCGTCTCGCCTCTAAGTTTTTCATATCTTCCCAAATGTCACTCGATTTCTTTGTCAGCATGTTAGCGTCAGTCGATCCGTCGCTAAAAACTTTCGCTTCCAGATGCTTCATGTTCTCCAGGATATCGCTAGATCTCTTCTTCGCCATCGTTGTGTTGAATTCATCAATCGAAGAGGAAGATTTCAAATCGGTACATCTTCTCTCGAGACTACTGGAGCTTCTCTCGGTCAACTTTGATCGATCTCTACGTCTGTAATTGTAGTTTAGATAGTGCTTATCAAGCTTCTCGTGCGGCAATTGAGGCACTACGTCCTTCTCTGACAGCGGATCATCCGTGTTGTCATTAGCGAAATCTCGATACGATTCGTCGCCGATCGATTCGTAAGTGCTCAAATCAGCTTTGCTCTTCTCCCTCGGCGTGTAACCCGCATTCAGCTCTGTATTCAACGCGAATTGTGGTCTGACAAACAGATCGCTTCTCTCGGT